CGCTCACTGCCTGAGTTCTGAAGAATTGATTACTAATATTATTGTCTGAAGTGCAGGGCAAGAGCACATGTTGTTCTGTGGTTGCAGTTTATGGGGCCATGGATAGTATTTCTTCAGACCTATGGGCCCTTTGGATGAATCACCGGGAAACAATCATGTGGACGTTTCCACTAGCAAAAAGTAAATATAAGTAAGTAGGAAAAGTTTCAAGGTTACAGACCCATTATGATATGTATGACCGTGGAATAAAAAGATAAAGTTAATGATGATATGATAAAGAGATATACTAATTTCATAACAGATACATAAGTAATAGGATATAATTAATAGAACTAGTGTGATAACAAGAGGGAAATCAGTCTTACAGTGTCTAAGATATAGAGTCCATAAGCGCAATATAACTGATGAAATAAATGTTATCTGATCATTTCTTTTGCCACAAAGTGTTGTGGGCTGGCGAGCACAGAAGAAAACAGCCGTATTCATGAGGAAAATTAGAGTTAATATGAGACCATGAATTACAGGAACATGCCGGAGGCACTTCTCCACAACCACATGACTTCTAAAGTGCCTTTAAAAGACCTCTTAACAGGTAAACTTCCTTATTACTGATACACCACAGTGATTTATGCACACAGTGAAAGGCGGACTGATGACTTGAAGTCTGACCTTGGATGTATTGCAGGCCTGAGAAAAAAATACTCCAGCACGTGTTTATATGTACAGATTGAAAGTAGGCAATCAATTTCACAATGCTTATCAGATGTGGAACACAGTAGTTCATAGTTGTTACACATTTCCACAAGAATGATACTGACTGAGTCACGGTAAAGAAAGAAAATTTTCCACATGGGATGTAATGATCACTGCAGAACAACTCCCCTCTTCCCATCTGCTTCTGTCTCACTTCTGTCATAATCAGACTAAAAAGGATCATTTTAACAGCGAATGGTGAAATTAATCCTCAGCTTTGAGTCAGATTTAGTTTATTCTGTGTTTAACACGGAGCGAGGTCGTTTCTTGTGTTATATTGCAGCTGTCTTAGTGCAGTCAGACATCCTGACTCTCCCAGAGTCTGGACTTGAGATTAAGGTGATTCCCTTTCATCATTGGGCCTGCTTGACTTTTGTCTGCTCTGCTCGAGTAAATCCAGAGTTTACAGTGCTCCTCAGAGATCTGTTGAGCCTATATGGTGAGTCTGTGGCAGCAGGTGCGTATGCTCCGATCTGTACAGAGAACGGGAGAATCTGCACTTTAGTTAATGTCCAAAGGGCTCGAAAGAGGCTGGAAAAAAATCCCTTTGCAGCATTTATCAAACCTCGCTCTGCTCACTGTGATGTGAAACGTGATTAAGTACAAAGCAGCAGATACCAGCAGACAGGATTCCTGATACTACATCTTAAAGGGCTGCAATAAATAAAAGTGTGGGTAAACCCTATTGCTCATCTCAGCTATTGGCCCAGTCAGCGTAGGCCTGCTAATCCTATCTGTCAATCAGAAATAAAATGAAATGCCCCCAATCAAGCATGATATATTTTTTTTATAGAGAAGCTTACTGTTGGACCGTGGCCTGCTCTCTCATAGGCACCTTTTTGAAAATTTAGCTAAACAAATCTAATTTAAAATTCAACATGAATTTGATTTTGTTGATTTTCAAAAATCATGAATATTAAAATGAAAAAAACAAAACAAAAAACTCTCCTGTATGTAGTTCTCTTGTATACTTGCTAAGAGAAATCTTTGGGTAAGGTGGATCCCACTGGAATTTTTCAAATTTGAATGTTACTGTAATATTAACTTGTCTTTTGTAAAATGTAATATTCCTTATTTAACTTATATTCTAAAGAAACATTCACCTGCAAATAACCAACAAAAGTTGAGTTGATTAAAAGTAAATTATTAAACATAATAGCTTTATAATCATTAATGACTGTTATAAAACATCATACACGTCATGATAGGTAATCACTGACCTATCTGCCTCTAGAGGCGTTCAACATGGTTAAGTCTAAGATGAAACACAGGCTCTGCTCAGGATTCAGATGTGACATGAGGGTCCTGACTTCAAAAATCAAGTTGTCTCTAGCTCATTTCTTAATGCAAAGCAACCAGCATAGGCTTTTGCAGATTTGTGACTGTATTTGTGTAGCATGATTTAAAAAAAATTAAGTGACATAAAGTCTAAAGCATAAAATAAAGATTTTTTAATAAAAATAAATAAATAAAAAAAATCACCACTTCACTGACCCGACTGCCTCAAGCTATTTTTGGAAGTTGCTGCTCTAAAAGTATCATTAACTTTAGATTACAGCGCTTTGAGAGCCATTTGGATTGCTTCAGTAATAAAAGGCCTATTGTATCTCCAGGTCTTGTCACAACAAATCAAGGACATAGCTTGTGAGGTTCGAAGACCGCAACTAATAAAACTGATGACTGATTATCAAATGCTAAGGGTCACCATTTAGCTGACTCATTGTCTCATACAGTGTAAATGAGATTCTTTAAGCACGGTGCTATTTTCTGTAAATCCAATAGCGAACGTATAATTACATTTCTTTCCTAATCACTTTTATGCCAACAAAAGATGAGTATTTCTAATGATTCTGGTTTATTGCTGAAGGAATGCAGAAGGATATAATTTCACATATTATGCGCAGTGTAACTGTAAGAGTAGGCCCTCATAATGCTTCCTCTTGTATGAAAAGACGAGTAGTTGTCTCTACATTATGTCCAGTCAAAGAAGGGAAAGTGGTTTATGGAATTTCAAATCAACTTCGGACAACACACAACCTGACTGCACTATATGAAAATACAATGCAAAGCAGCCATATTTGTTAAAATTTAATAGACTCATGATCCTTTGTGAGTTTTTCCTCTAAGGTTAGTGGGCTTTTAGGCTGAAGAGGAAAAGCGAAGTGTTTTTTTTTCCACTAAAAATAGATTTCAGATAAGGATGTCACATAGGTGACAGAGATAATGGTGCAATAATGATTGCATTCCTGACGAATGATGCGTTGAGGCAGGTGTGCACGGTGGCCTGGCCTCTGAGTGCAGTAGGCTCTGCAGATCAAGACCTCCCTTATCACCACAAGACTGTCAATGGATGCCTGTGTGTATCGCTTACTGCTGCTACATTAGCCTTTTTTTCTGTCTCTTGACCATGCCTGCACATTTATGCACATACCGTAAACTGTAGAGGAATCTACTCTTACTAGAGTTATTGCTAAAAATTCTGATCACCTCTGTTTCTCCTGCTCTAACGCATCGCTGCAATATTGGACGACCACCGCCGGAGACTGGAATCAGAAGCAAGAAACATTTTGAGCGTCTGCCGACTGTCACCTAAAGTGTCCTGCTCATTTGTAAAAGTGATTTCTTATTTTTTTTTGTTTCACGTGCTCCTCAGATTGCAATAAGAGAACCAAAAAAGCAACAATTATGCCAACAATATTTTAAAGTGAAGAAATTCTATTTATTTCACATCATTGAATCAAATCTATATCAATGAGAAATCTCTACCACCAGCTGAGCAAGCAACAGGTCAGGAGATGTCATCCGTCATACACACGCACGCACGCACGCACGCGCACACACACACACATACACACACATACACACACACACACACATAAACAGGTGCTCTAATGTTTCTAGATGAAGGCACATAAACCCATTGAAGGTCACAGTAAGGCAGATTCACAGCACTAAGGAGAAACCGTAGACCGTAGGAATTAGCAAAGGAACACTCAAGACTTTGACCAGTCTGCCGTATTACAGTCTCTGTTTAGTCCCGTCTTCCTCTGTCTGGAGAGAAGAGGGCAGGTGTGAACCGGTGAGGATGGCTGAGAACAGGAGGAAAAAGATGCTCACGTGCAGTGCTGACAGACATCCCACCTCTATTTTCCATGTGACCTTTTCCTCCGCAGACAGGTAGTGAGGGTTTCTCCTTGTCATTAGAAAACTAGCAGCACTGAAAGAGAGAGTTCTTCCTAGTTTCTAATCCTCATTTCCCCCACGAAAGTTCTTTGGCTTGATCGCATCAGCCAACCTTCAGACACAATCATATGTCTTCGCAGACAAAAGTAAACAGTTGTGTTTTTTTTTTTTTCTTTCACCCAGACATATAATTGTGGCAACACACAACGTATCATCACTCAAAACCAGCAGCAGTACAAACTCTAAAAGAGTTGTTTTTGCATCATTTAGAAACAGTAACACCATAATGTAAATCACAGTTTGTTCAGTTGCCTTTCACTGCATGACTTCAAAAAACAAGACACCACGGAAAGGACCAATCTGTACAGTCACAGCAGCAGCAGCAGCAGCAGCAGCAGCAGCATCAGCAGCAGCAGCAGCAGCAGCAGCATCCCTTTGGATCACCAACAGATTGGATTTGATTAGTCCACAAAGCACTAGTTTGACATAATACCCTGTATCCAACCAGACAGTATACATTCTTGTGCAGAAAAGCTCTGCTGTGCAGAGGTGGAACCACTCTGTTTCCCATTCTGAGTTCACATGAGGAATCTTGTCCCTGAGTCTTCAAACTGTATCTGAATAATCCCACTGCACCCTAATTCCCCACCCTGTCCCGCGAGCATCCACCTCTTACCTCCTCTTATAATCTACAGACATTCAACTTGTAGGCATGGGTTAAAGGGAGCTTCAGCCATTTCCGTGTAAATTTGATGAGCTGAAATGCACACCACCCTGGCAGAAGGGCAGTGGAGAATATGACACAGCGTCTACCTCACACTTGGTCAGACACACACAACAGACATGTAGTCACATACAGTAGAGAGACTCTACACTGGCTCTGAACTAACAGTGCACGCACATTGAACAACATACACAGCTTCAGTCTCTTAGCTGAGTCTGTCACAGAGAGATGTCTTAATGGTGTGTCAGTTTCAGGTGCAATGGTTGTGCAGGGCTGTGTGTCACGTGTGTTTGCGTGTGTGCAAGTGTATCTGTGTCCGTGTGTAAGCGTATGTGTATCTATAGGCGTTTTCTATTCGCGAGGACATCTATGGATGTGTGTGTCCCTGTGTTAAGTAAGGGCGTACTCAAACGTCCCTTTCTCCAGCCCCTCAATGCCATCAGCCCAGTTGGAGGAGGGCATACTGCTGTAGGGGTCCAGCAGGATCCTGAAACACCTTACTATCAGCAGCCCCAGGAACACCAGGAGCATCCCCACGAAGGCAAACGCTGTCTTCTGCTCCAGAGTCAGAGAGTGCGCCATCATGTCGTTTCCGCTCATGGCAGCAAGGGAGTGGTTGTAGTGGACGCTAAACATGGTAAACCAACATCTAGGTGCCTCATCTCTCCTCCGATAGGGTCAGGCGTTTAGGAGCCTGCATGTTACCTGGACAGAGATTACATGATGGCTTCAGATTAGTGCTGTCTTGTCTCTACTGCAGAGAGGATCCATTTAATCAACCTATTTAAATACTTCATGCTTACACTGCATAGACTGTGAGAAACAAGGGTGCTGATATGGTAGAAGAAATACAGAAATTCCACAATTAAATGTTGAACAGGTTTACAGGTATCTATAAATAGCCTTTTTTTTTTTTTGAGTGTGGTATCAAACAGATGTCCGGAGACTTTGATCTCTCTCTCACTCTGCCCCTCTGGGAATTTTGCAGAAAATTACAAAAGGCAAACATGAACAGAAGAGTGAGGGAGACTGCAGGAGAACGGGTTCGGGAATACCAGCCAATGCCATGACAGTGTGTCGCAGTGCATAGCCAGCGGTGAAACACAGGCAAAGCTGTAAGGTACCAATGAAAACGTCACATCTCATGAAGATGTGATGTCACGTATGTTATGGTTTAGAAGAAAGGGATCTCTACCTGTTGCGTGTCAGCAGATGCCTGCCGGACAGTGTGATTCCATTAAACATGATAGCGACGGTGATTGACGGAACATAATCGCAAAATTGGTGTGGTCACACAAGTGGAAGTCTGCTTCTGTCATTCTTTTCCTCCTCAAATTGTTCATATGAACACAAGCAGCAGGTGGCTCAAGTGAAAGGAAGGGAGGGAGGGAAGGGGGGGTGTGTGTGTGTGTGTGTGTGTGGGGGGGGGGTTGGATGAGAGAGGGAGGATACATACAGACAGGGACAGGGGAATGAACAGAGAGAATTGGGAAAGACAGACGAGGGAGAAGCAAGTAGAATGATGAGGACACTGCACAAGTATGCATGGTGTGAGAGAGAGGAGAGGAGAGAGGGAGGGAGTGAGGTAGGGTGAAAGGAGAGACTGCATTGACAGATTTTCTTGTGTGGGATGTCTGCGAAAGAAAAAGCAGGCGTCTCACCGTCATTATCGTTCCATCCTTACAGACCTGTTGCTGCTGTTTCTTCCGAGCAACTCCTCCGTCTCGGAGCCCCCAGACATATGTCCATTAATCCATCCATTGCCAGCATACAGGGTGTGCTAGGCTAACCCCACATCTAAACAAAAAGGTAGAGAGATGAAGAGAGGAACAGAGAAGCGAGGGAGAGGCTGGATCAAGCTATGATATATGTCTCTTCTCAGAGATACAGCTCCTCTCCTCATGCTCCCTTACTTGCTGCCTCCTACTCATTATCATTCTGTTTCTCTATCTCTCCCTCCAGAAGCACGCACGCTTGCTCCTGCTGCATGGCAACCACTTGTTAGTCTCACTCAGCTGCTCTGCTGCCTCAGTCATTCACAACATTCCCCCCCTCAGCAACACCACGGCCGATGCAGCAGCATAAACAAGCAACCCCCCTCTTCTTTTTTCTTCTCTCTCCATTCTCCTCTCCCTGGCTTATTTGGCTCTTCTCAAAATGACTCCACCAAAATGTGACAGGAATATCATGGCTTAGCCAGCAGGAGAAATGCTGCCTCTCACTGCTCCTGGCCAGTAAATGCTGCTGCAAAGGTATTTTTGGTCCAGCACAGCACTATCCTCAAAGCCTGCTCCTGCTTTGATGATGTGTTTTTAATTGGTGCAGTTTGCTGTGGTCAAATTGAATTAGCCCCCTCTGCTTAAAGGCTTACGAATGCAAGCTCCACTGGACATGCGGAAGGAGGAAGAGACTGGTATTTACATAGGTTTTACTGGAGTGAATGAAAAGCAGTATTGTATGGGCAAACAATCGGCAGGTCTGTAACAGTATGCAGCAGTGAAGCGTCTGGCCATCTGTATTGTTGTTATGCAGCGCAAATTCATATCAGCAATGTAGTTTTTGTCACAGTGGTGCAGTGACTCGGATCTAAGGAGAAGGCATGCCATGAGGGAGATGGTCATCACTAGTGTGAGATGTGCAATAATTCAAGGCTTGAAAGTGGGAAGGAGAACTCCATTTTCCTTTTCCAGTTGTAAACAGCTGAAAAAATCCCAGAGAGAATTTAAACACAGAGTTTTATGCCTCTGCAGTGTCTTTTGAACTGTATTTTTTTCTTCTTCTTGGGTTCGTAGCAGTTTCTAGTCTTGCTGTGCTGTTGATACTTGATCCTTGGCTGTATTTGGGCAGAGACGGGTAGTGTGGCGTCGCAGTGATTTGTCGGCCAAGTCATAAATACAGTTTTATTTCACATTCATTTCAAGGATGGTTCTTGAAAATCAGATGAGGAGATGTCACACTGTATAGACAATGGAACTGTTGGATGTTTTCTGGCAATGCTCTCATGTCAATTTAAAAGACAAGGTCAAAATGGAAAACTGTTGGGTCATAGCATTCTAGTGATAAGGTCAAGTTACAGAAAGTCTGAATCCATTACAGTGAATTGGCTGTTGGAAAGGATTTCATGAATGTGAAAATTAACAGAAGTTGCCTCTGAATCACCTTTACCACATCTGTCAACAGTCGAAACATGCAAATGTGCTTTTACCTGTGTGTCAAGGTGTGCTGATTATCTTTGGACTCTTTTGGTTTGGAAGAGGAACTGCTGAGACGATCTGAATCTGTTGCATAAAGCATATTAGAATATTACGCAGTGTCCACAGGACATGAGGATAAAGATTGTTCAACTTTTATCTCAGCCAGACAACAGGTCAGGAACAAAACTGATACTGAGAACTGTAAAACTATGAATCTATGAACTGCTCTCACAGTATCCCCTTTAATGTTAATGAACTCTACACCACACCCTTGTGTGATAATACAATCTGCACAAGAAAGTACAAAGACAGATGCAGTGAAATTACCAAGATTTTAAATACTTTATTAGGGCCCCATTAGCCTAACCGCAGCAATTACTATCTCTCTTGGGGCCCACAACTTAATTAAATTTACATGGTCCATTGTAAGTTAAGTTTTCATTTTAAAAGGATGGTGTAATTTTTTAGAAAAAATATAATAATCTACGATATTGTTATCAAAGGTATAATGCTAAGGCGACCGTGCACATCACGATATACAAGATAAGAGAAATAAAGCTGTGGTTGCAATTAAAGCATCTCCTAGTGTGATCAGAGAGAAACTCATGGTCTTCAGTAAGATAGTGATAGCCATATCAATCATATGCAAGTTTAGGGCCAGGTTCATATTGCGCTATTTTGTGGTATTCACACAATGAATTTAATATTGTCATTAGTTGTAGGTTTCTCTGCTATTGCTTGGAAAAAGTAGCTTACTTTTCTGATTGTGTTTTTGTTTGGTTTGTCATAAAGACAACATGATGTTTCAGTGGATAATATTTAAGTTTTAAGTGTTTCCAAAGAAGCCAAAGCAAAGAGGTCTTTTTTGATTACTACTGATTATGTGAAACCAGATCCAAATGCTGACTGTGGTTTCCACGAAAAGATAAAAAATCTACATCTTGAAATTGTTGCTACTGCTGATAAGAAATGTAGGAGTCACATTTCAATTCAAATCTATTGGGGAAGCTCCAACATTAAAGATGCGCACATTATCATATAGATTTTTGGCATATGATGATGAAATATTAATGTACTGTAATGTAATTTCATAAATTATGTGCAGCAACTTAGGTTGACTGACTGTTCTTTGTTTGTGAAACCAAGTTGCAAGGTTATTTTGCAGCCGTCTTAGTAATGTTGCAGCATTTATCTGTAGGAAGTATGTTATGAAAACAGGCAGCCCTTAAGGAATGTATTATCAGTTTATTGACCTGATTTTTCATTGACAGAGTAATACGTGTACATGTTAAAGGTTAACTTCCCTTTTATGTTAAAGGTCAACCTGACCCATGGTTGTAATTGAAAGTTCAGAGAGTTGCGTTCTCCTTCATTGCACATATCAGTGGTATCTGCTCCTGAATTAAGTGAAAATGTATTTATTTTCATGAGGGAGTTGCACCACTTGTTCAGTTTGTGGATAAAGCATGCTGAAACCTAAGCAGTTAATGAATGAACATATCAGAGTAGTAATCAGAAACTTTCACATAACATTGCAAACATCTGCGTTGGTTTGGTGCAGCTCACCTACAGCTGCACCAAAGATTCTGACACACATAAAATCATGATATGGACTATGCAGATGTCGTGCAAATCGATTGGAAATGAGACAATGTCCCTAAAAGTAGCTTTTAAATGGCTTAGCTTTTGATGATTTCCTCAAAATATATGAAAAGATTCAAATGAACATCATGTAAACGTGTAGATGTCTAAATGATACGTCTTGCACAGCATAAAACTATGGTTTGAACACCATTATTGTGGTCACATAGTTATTGTCCTCATATCATAACAGTTAGGAGCTGGACAATTTTTTGTATAGGAGTATAATCAACTTTTGAAGTGCTTTTTTTTGGTTTTGGCAACTGCACAGACTTGCTGAGCAGATACTCTACAATGTTAAAGTGTATTGTATAAAGAAAATGAAATTATTCCTCCAGTAGAGTAACAGAGCATCAATCAATAGTTTCAGGAATGATGAATTAGCTTGGCTCTGTATTATAATCAATAAAGCAAGACTTATAGTCTGACACTATGAGTGTGCTGCCTGGAATATTGTAGGTTATATGTATAACTGGTATTTCAATATGAATTACACTGTCTGAAATTAGACATTAAATAAGTATTCAGGAACTTATTGGTTGTATAATATAGCTTTGGGCTTTCCCTTGTGCATGGATCATACTGCTGTAGAGCAGGTTGGACAGGTCTTGATATGATTTTCTGGGATTTGGGTACTGTTCAGAAACACGTAGAAGCATCCATCAGAAAGTGTCACTTTCTGTTCACAGTTATTCAGACACTCACTTACAATCTTATTCCCTTATGATCCCTGAAGCTGTCTACTAATGTGCACAGTCTTTCCAAATATCAACATATTATTTATGCGTATTTCCCAGACCC